CATAAATAACTAAATATTAATAATAACTAAATTTTACTATGATTATTTTGATATAATTAAGAAAATCAATCAAATAAATTAAAAAGTCATTCCACAAATTAAAATTTAAAGTTAAAACATATAAATTTATGTGTGAAAATGAAGAACACGAATTTTATTGTGTTAGTTTGTTAATAAGAATTTTAAGATTTTTATTTTCTATTTTTACCTAATAAATTTATATTTATTTTAGATTCAAAACTATTTAAATATACTGTATGACCCAATATTAAGAATTTCAATAAATAAGAATTATATTTTAGAACAAATAAAAAAAATAACTAATTAATAAAGAAGTTAATTTAATTAAATTGGGGCAAAGTTTTCTTAGAGCAAAAGATGAAATGAGGGAAATTTTTAAACAAAAAATGAAGTAAGGGCTATTTTATGAACATACTACTTTTGATTTTTATGAATATATAATTTTTCATAACAACATTTATATTTTCTCTAGAGTAAATATATCCATTTAATTTAATTTAATATATCTATATATTATAAAATATCCAGCACTTATCAATGTTACAGGAGAAACAAACAAAGAAAAAGTTAGGAGACTCCACATTTATGGCGCATGTTCATATAAATCATATGAAATATTTATCCAAAGGTAAAATTCTTTTGGTCATAAAATTCAGTTAGAATGGTGAAATAAATATATTTCATGTTCCGTTATTTTATTTTATAAAATATTTTTATTTTTTTAATTTAATATATTTTAATTAAAATAGAAAAAAATTAACTTATTTTAAAATAAAAAAATATTATATATCATTTAAAATTTTAATCAAACTTTAATTAAATATTCGACCATTTGACATCCGCATGTACAAATTTCATGGAAATCATGGATACCAAAAGTTAAAAGAGAAACAAACAAAGAAAAGGTCATATTTCATTAGAGTATTACCTAACGTTAGACGAAAACACAAACAAACAAAAAGAGTGAGGTTCACATTTGGGGTGAGTGGGTCCCTTGTAGATGGAATATACTTTTTTGAATAATTTTTAAAGTTAAAACTTAAATTTATTATTGTAAAAAAAAAAGTTAATAAATCAAAAATTATGAATTACAATTTGTAAAAACTGAAAGAAATTTACATAATATAATATTTGTTAAAATTCTTATTATTAAATTTTAATAAAAATTATGACAATTAAAAATAATCGAATAAAATGATGTTGAAAATGACAGATCTATTTTTAGATTCGTTGTTCCAACATTTCTAGATTGCATCAATTACTCAATGAAAATAGGTAATTAATGCTTGTGGTGCCATTAGCGTCAGAAACTTGTAAATTTTTTAATCTTATCAACTACTCTAAAATCAATGCTTTGGATGTTAGCTCCTTCCTTTCTTTTTGGTGTTGTTAGGGCTATTCATAGATCAAGGTAGTAAAATTAAATTAAATTGCAATTTGAATTAAATTAATTATAAAAATTGATATTTAATTTAATTTAGTTAAGTTTAATTTTAAATTTTAAAAATTTGATATTTTTTAATTGATTTTACTAAAAATTAATAGAAAAAATATCTAAAATTTTTCTTTAATTTTACTATTTTGCTAAGTCCAACACTTCAATTCCAGCCTAATTATTAAATCTTAAGTCTAAATCTTTCAAAATCCGTTACTTTAAATATCACATTTTCTTTGTTCCTTATAAAAAAAAATTAATGCAATATTAAATAATTTAAAATTTAAGATAAAGAAGATGGTAATTGATTGGTTTTGATTATGAAATATTGGTGTTTTTTTTAGAAGTAAATTGTCAATATTTTAAGGTGCAATTTTATTGAAAAAATTATTGATAAGATGTTTAGATCTCCAGAATATTTAAACTAACTTTATGCTATTGACAATGAGTTTATTTAGTTTCTGAAACTTGGTACATTAGATGAATCACTTTGTTCGTGTAAAAACTTTTTTGGTGAATTATTTATGTACTGAGTGTTTGTTTCTATCGAGATGCGTATGTCCTCAACAAACTTATTAGTTTCTAACCGAAGGAAAACCAAAAAAATCGAACCAAATCAATGGTTATTTTTTGGTTTGGTTTAAAAATTTTAAAAATGATTAACTTGATTTAATTTTGCTTTTAACTAATAACCGATTCAAATCGAACTATGAACACCCTTATGTGTTGTATAGATTCCTAGCTCCTGTTACTTGTATCTCTAATTACTTGTCTATGTTTTTAAGTTGTACCTAGTTACTTGTATTTTTACAAATCAAGAAACAATTAAATTTTTTATCTATTATATCTTCAATCAATTGTGTTACAAAAGTTAGAATTTTTTGATTTTTTTTTAATTCATCCACTTCATAATTAATAAGGGTAAAATGACAAATTTATTATGTCAATAATTATTTTTTTAATTTGTGTATAAATTTTAAAATATATAAATAATTAGAAATAAGAAAATAATATATATGACTACTATGCATATTCTTTGAGTAATTAATTGAATACAATTAAAATTAACCTTAACTTTAAAGAAAAAATAAACAGAAAAATGCCTAAAATACTTTTGAAGTATTAGAAATGGTACAAAATTATCCTCCATTTACCTATTGGCTCAAAAATATCTTTCTCACCACCCTATTGGTTCCAAAATACTTTTGTCATTCACCTTTGGATTCAAAATTGACCACTTGTTTAATGATTTTAAATTTAAATAATTTAATTATTTTTCTAAATACGTGACCCTTAACTATTTTTATAACATAACTTATTAATATAATTTATAAATCAATCAATTACCCACCCATTAATAATTAAATCCGTCTCAATTTATAAACTCGCTCCTTTACTAATGAAACAGTAGTGCCAATGTTATAAAACTTTGAGGCGAAAATGTTTATAGAAGTACATTATCATACATTCAAGTTCTCAATCAAAACATATAATAATTCAAGTGTCTAAATAATAATTATCGATAAATTTAAAAGTCTGACTACGTTCATCCTAATTATTCCTTCACCTCCATTACGTGATGTTAATTGACAGATAATTTTTTCTTAAAAAATAATATATTATAGTTTTAATATTTAAAATAAATCATTTATTTATAAAACTATATTAAAATAAGTGCACAAATTAATTCGGGATGTACTATTTCTTTATCTTTATCATAAATTTTGAATTCAAGCAATAAAGAGAATCTTATTGAAAATATCCTCCTAAATAAAAGGCTAAACCTAAATTTCATTGCGGCTTCAATTCGAAATCGAATAATTTTGAATGTTATTTGCAAGAATTTGTGATTTCGTCATGTCTTAGTAGTGTTTAGGGTGATTTTAATATTAGAATTGTTTTATTAATTGGGTGAGTTTAATTAGTAATGGGTGAGTAGTGTGTTGGTTTATAAATGATATTAATGAATTATATTAGAACCAATAGTTAAACATCAAGTATTTAAAAAAAAAATCTAAATAGTTTAAATTTTAAAATTGTTAAATAAGTGATCAATTTTGAACCTAAAGTTCATCTAAAGGTGGCTGAAAGAGTATTTTGAAGCCAATAGATGAATGAGAAAACATTTTAAAATTAATAGGTGAATGAAAAGTAATTTTATACCATTTTCAATCATTTAAAGATATTTTAGGGTTTTTTTTGAAAAATAAAAGAAAGAATATTGCCACCCAAAAAAGTGTGTGTGTGTGTGGG